CTACAACAGAGCCAGCCAGATGTTGTGACACAATACTGTTTTAATACTTTATATGGTCACTAATTATGGTGCTTATGAGCAATATCGTTACCTTAACAAGTACATGCACTTGTTAAGTGCACCTGCAGTGATGATTATATTGATTACTGGCAATCAGAGGTGCAGTGCTGTTTGTTTCAGTAGCTAACACCCGGGAAACTCTGTTTTCTCCTCCAGAGAGAGTCAATTACTGGGGAGAGACTCAGGTTTCCTCCCCTCTGACCTCGGCTTCTACTGCACCTGAACCAGCTGTTTTATTTCGTCATTCACGACACAGCAGAGCGAATTCATTTGTAGAAGTTTTAAAACCCCTGTTAGCTGTTAGTTCACTTTTCCTTTTCTTTTTTGTGTGACTGCTTTTATAGTTTATCAGTCCTCAATATAAGGACAGAGATCAGCTTAGAATAAACTTTTGACTGTGATGCAGCTAACAGCTAATTTCTCTGCACTGGAATCACTGCCCGTAATAAAGTTTTTCTTTGAATCATAAAATCAAACACTGACGTCACACAGATAGAAAAATGACTGTTGCTATTGGGATTCTGGAGATGATGAATAGTATATAATATTTGAGAAACGTTGAGGAGGAAATCACTTTAAAACAGAACCTAATACATTTTAAAATCACTTTTTAAATACATGATGCAGGAGGTCTGATTGTAATTTGATTACATTTCATGTTGAAATGTGTTCAGATTGAGATTTAATCCTTAAATTACGTCAAACAACAAAATGTACAGTTTCTGAAAACTCAACATAGTTTCCACTGAAACTCTAAATCAGAACTGGATCGGCTAGCTGTCCAGTTTGGAGTCCACATGCATGATTGTTCCAAAATGGGTAAAGATTACAAACTGAGACTCATACCTGGATCCTGGCTCCGGGCATTTCCAAGTCTTATCCCGTCAGGATCCATTCATAGTGGCTTATTTAAAACGGCTCAGCCTTCGTCCAAAACTGAGCTGAAATGTCTAAAATCCAGCCGACCAACCAAAGATGGCTCTTTAAAAGCCCGGACACGTCTTATTATTTATTTGTTCATTCTGCCCTTTTTCCAGTTAAATGTGAAATAGTCATTTTGAACTCCTGCCGGCTCCCAGTGACAGAGTTCTGCTGTCTTACAGCCCTACCAATCATCTATCAATGAAGTTTGCTATTACATGGTTAAATATTATTAAATATTAAGTGGTTATACTGGAAAACATCCAACATTTCATCCAGTAATGACAAAGAGAATGAAATCTTCTGTAAGAACGTGAGATTGTTAAAGATCGTCAGTACATTCAAGTTTACTAAACAATGTTTGAAACTACATTTTAAATGAATACAATCCTCAGCGCTGAGACGTGTTCATATGTTTTGATCTGCTGGATTCAAACGGAGGCTCTGCTCTTTATTTACCCGTTGCCATGGTGATTCATCACTGCCTTCGTCCACTCGTGCACATGCTCAGTTCAGTTAACTGTGTTTGTTCACTCTAACTCTGCTCAGCTGCTCAGGAAGCGAAAACTATCACAGAGATTACAGATCTTAGTCACTCAGCTCGGTTTATTTTTAAACTC